GCGAGGCGCAGCCTGTGCGTGACCCACACGCCGAGTGGGCGGGAGGCGCAGCGTGTGCGTGACCCACGCGCCGAGTGAGCGGGACGCTGCGGGCGGGAGGCGCGGCCTGTGCGTGACCCACGCGCCGAGTGAGCGGGACGCTGCGGCCCGGAGGCTCCAGCGCCCGTCCCCAGGCTGAGTGGGAGCAAACGCGCGTGGTCTGCTGGGTGCGTGGCCCCGAGTCAGGGCCAGGGTCCGATGCTGTTGAAGAGATTCCTGATTAGAAGACGCGCAAGTCCCGATAACGTATTTGGAAATGACCCTCTTTGGTCCGTTTTAAGGAGGTCAGCATATTTTTTATGTCATTCGAAATCAACAAGTTCGTACTGAATGCCCGCCGGGACCGGGCACAGTGACGGGTTCCGGGGACACACAGGGCTTCTCCGGCGGGGTACCCCCAGCACCCCGCGGAGGCCGCTCTGCAGACCCGCACAGCCAGCGCGCTGTGCCGCACACGCACGCCTGTGATAAAGCCCGCAAAGGAGGCACCGTCGGAGACGAAAAACAACAATAAAATGGATCAATTACAACCAGGCCGCAATGAAAGACTAGAGTAAGGGCGTCGGCCATCACGCGACAGTCGGTCAGATAAGTGAGGTGGCTGCCAGGTGACCGGCAGGGACGCTGGACAAGGGGACAGTCACACCCCGGGCAGGACGGAGTAAGACGCCTGGCGATTGCGTCATGCTCCTGAGAACCTCATGCAATTTAAAATTTATGAAATGTCTGTTTCTGGGACTCGCCATTCAATATTTTTGGACCACAGCTGACAGCAGGTAACAAACCACAGATAAGGGGAAGCGACTGTACTTGCCTCACGGGACCCTTCTAGATGCAGAGAAGAGACATAAATATTTCGAAACCCTCCATCACTTCTTTGTGTCACTGCAAGAGCCTCCTAATTGCCTCCCTGCTTTTGCCCTTGCCCCCTGCAGCCAGAGGCGTGATGACCAAGCATAATCCGCACGATGCTGCTGCTCCTGAAGCCTCCCACTAGCTTTGCTCCTCCGCTGAGCCAAGAGCCAAGTTCTTACAGGAGCTCTTCACCGCCTGCCCCCCACCCCACACACTCGGGCTTCCTTTCCTGCTCCCTTTCCCCTCCTTCGGAGGCAACCACGCTGGCCTTGGCCCTCCACGGCCAGCTGTCACTCCCGCCTCCGCCTTGGGTGTTTCCCTGCCTCCTTCCAGGCTCCCACATACCAGTTCCCCGAGGCTCTTCCTGGCCCCCGGATTTAAAATGACGAAACCCTCCTGAAACACACACACAATCCCTACCCCTCGTCCTTGCTTTATTTTTCTCCAGCGCTTGTCATAGTCTAATATGCTATATAATTTACCTTTTCATTTTATTGGACTTCACCCACCCGAGTATAAGCTCCAGGAGGACAGGAAGTGTTTAACTGTTCTCGCCTCAGCGGAACTTACACGCCCGCGTGACACACAGATAGTGGTGTGTTTCGAGATTAAGAGAGGATGGTGGAATCGGGAGCACTTGGGTGGCCACCTTAGTAGGGTGCCAAGGGAAACCTCTTGGAAGAGGTGAAGTTTAAGTTGCTGGTGAATGGAGGGAGGAGGCAGATGAAGATCTGGGGAAGGGCATTCTAGGCTGAGGGAACATTTAGTGCCAAGAACCCAAGGCTCCTACACATTTAGTGCCCTCGGGAACAGAGGCTGGTTGTACAGCTGGAGCTAGACGAGGAAAGACTGGTCTGAGGTGAAGTCAAGGAATTCAGTGACGTCACCTAGGAGAGTAGCTAGCTGGACAACTAACTGACCTAGGACTTAAGACCAGAAAACCCAGGGAGACTGAGGAGGGGCAGCCATGGAGACCTGCTGAGAGGTGTCAGAAGACAAAGTCTTGAGAAAGAACAGCCAACTGTGCCAAATGCTGCTGAGAAGTCAAGGAACACAGAAGTACCAACGACTTAGAAACACGGAGTGACTGAAAAACACTTGTGACTGAAGTGGGCTGGGAAATGCGAGGTGAAGAAATGGTGGGGATAATGACTACATATTTCAGGAAGGTTTGCTGTGGAGAGGAACAGAGTGTGGAAGCCAAGGAAGCAGGGTAACGGGGAGATTTTTGTTTTTATTTTTGTTTGTTTTAAAGACAGAAGATACCACAGCGGTGCCTTTTAGACTTTTTCCAAGTAAGCTACAAGGGGACTACATTTACACTGTGACTGGTTACGTACATACTTAAAATTATGGAAACTAAAATTTCACAAAGCAATACTCCTGTTATGTGTGAAGCATTCTAACTTTACATTTAAAAATACTGCTTATAATCCACTAAAATATTTGCAAGTCCCACCAATGGGTCATGACCTTACTTGAAAAACAGGGTTGGTGGAGTATTGGATGGAACTGGCTCATACCACCTGTGAGAGCCAATTATGCATCTTGAAATTGGCCAGGATGGGAGTATTTACACCATGGAAATGGATAACTGCTACAATTTAGAACTGCTTGCCCCTCCCCCCACCAGATGTTAAACATTTACCAAGACACTACTAACTGTGCTCATGTGAATGATCCTCTCCCACATCCAACACCAGCACCACCAACCTCTTTTTTCACCCCCAAGACGCCTTATGTTCAGATTCAGCAGGCTTACCTCTTATGTTCTACAGGATCATGTCCCAAATCTAGTCTTTTCAGGTGTGAGAATCAAGCTTCTAGAACTATGGTTTTGTCATAAAATAAAAGAATCTTGGAGATGGGAGAGATCTTCAGAGTGAAAATTAAATTAACTCATCCCAATGGCTCAAAGAATGAGATACTGTCCCATTTTTTAAAAACTTTTCTTGAATGGCCTGGCAGCCTATAGCATGTTAACCAGTGAATGTGTATTGTTATTTGACATGAGAGAAATATTTCTGAAATTAGGTAAATTTAAAAAGTCAAAACAAGATCAAGA